CTATCTGAGGTCTACGCGAATCACGTGACAATTAAGCATTTTGAACTTCCATTGTCGCAACTCTACCTCTGGTTCAGGCAAGGGGGGAATCCACCAGCTGGAAACTGAAGCTTCGCTTGGGGGCCACCATTGTAGCAGACCATCACCTGCTGTTAGCATTCCATTGACTCCCATTCATTTTGGCGTCACTTTGATAGCGAATAACTTTACATCTGAGGCGTCCAAAGACTCCATTTGTCCATTATTTATTTCTAAAGAAACACGACAATGTATAAAAGGCTCCATTACTTTGTATCTTACGTTATGGCCCCGTAGAAGCCGTTTTTGTAAAAATGGGCTAACGATTGCCTCATAACCACGGGACTCTCTGTCGCACAGTAGAGAAATTACCGTATAGACAGAAGGAGAAGCTCGTAGGCAATCTTTTACTGTCTATGATGCAATCGGGTGGACATGGAGGCATAAAGTCAAGGGAGAAGCCCATAGATAAAGAGTCCATAAAAGCAACGGGACAAAATATTTCAACAACAGATTTGTTTCAGATTTCAATTCAGATTTGTCTTGGCACAGCTACTAGAAGACTTACAACTTTCAGAACGGTGGCTCACGTCACATCTACGTCGTCAAGCTCAGTTTGAGCCTCCGCAGTACGCTTGGCTATCAGGAAGTGAGTGCTTCTAATGGGCTTCAATTTTCTCAGTTGAAATCTATGGGGTCTCTATCTGTGTCCATTTCTTTTACTGTCTATGGGTTCAGGGATACCCTCTTTTACTGTCTATGGGGCATACTTGCTTCACAACCAAATGGACACAGCGACCCCATAGACTTCAACAGGGAAAAGTGAAGTCAATTAGAAGCACTCTCTTCCTGATGGCTGAGCGTACTGCACAGGCTCAAACTGAGCTTGATGACGTAGATGTGACGTGAGCAACCTGTCTGACAGTAGCTAGTAGATGTGCCAAGAGGAATCTGAATCATTCCCTTTCGAATCTTGCAGAGACTGAGAGCGAGAGTAGGAGCTGTCCATGAGGTAGCAGCAGGATCAACTTTATGACTCGCTATGGGCTTCTCCCTTGACTTTATGCCTCCACGTCCCCACGATTGCCCGCGAGCTTCTCCTCCTGTCTACACGGGCGATAAGCGATCGTTGGATTTAATCAGCTCGATTTACTGCAATGCTTTTTTCCCCTTAGTTGGTCAGAACAAAAGTGGATGTTACTTACTTGTTCAGATGACATTTTCCGGTGAAAATTATTATGTTGGTCATACTTCCAAAAAGTATAATCTGTGATTCCGAATGACAGTATCCACACTGGCACGGTGACTGACAGCCGCACATTCTTCTCAAAACATTGGATTCATCTGTGCTGTGCCGAGACACAACCCACGTAAAGTTGATAAATCCGTGAATAACTGCAATTGCAGATTTGGCGATCAGAGATGGCGACAAAGAGGAAAAACTACGGATTGCAGCTTTAATATCACCTTAATTGTATGTATAGCATATAGGGTTACCATCTTTTTTCCAGACATAGAACAAACTGTTACAAATCTGGTCGGGATTTCTAAAATGTCTTGGCACACACATGAAGAATAACAGCATCTTCAACAGGTTTGATAACATACACTTTGACATGGAAGCGAGTGAAAGTGTCCACGTTTAATCACATTCACTTTAATCACAGTAACGTCCAAAAAACAATGTTGACAGCAACAGAAACAAACTTTTCTATTAAGAGGTGATGTTTCCCCCTATACATTGATTTCCTGGGGCATTTTTTCAAACCTTATTAAACAAGCATCATCAGAATTTCTAATTTTCCCGAAATGAATCGCTGCTTATTTCCAAAATGAGTCGCAACTTTTTTCCAAAATGAATCGCTACTTTTGTCCAAAATGAATCGCAACTTTTTTCCAAAAAGAATTGCGACCTTTTCAAAAGTGAATTGATCCTTTACTTAAAATGAATCGCTACTTTTACCAAAAATGAATTGCTAGTTTTTCTCGAAAGTATCGCTACTTTTTCAAAAAGAATCGCTACTTTCCCAAAAGTATTGCTACTTTTTCAAAAAGAATCGCTACTTTTCCCAAAAGTATCGCTACTTTTTCAAAAATAATCGCTACTTTTTCAAAAAGGAATCACTACTTTTTCAAAAAGAATCCCTACTTTTTTCCAAAATGAATCGCTACTTTTTTTTCAAAAAGAATTGCTACCTTTTCAAAAGTGAATTGATCCTTTCCTTAAAATGAATTTATTTTTTACCAAAAATAAATTGCTAGTTTTCAAATTGCTAGTATCGCTACTTTTTCAAAAAGAATCGCTACTTTTCCCAAAAGTATCACTACTTTTTCAAAAATGAATTGCTACTTTTTAAAAAAGACTCGCTACTTTAAAAAAAGAATCGCTACTTTGAAAAAAATAATTGCCACTTTTTCAAAAAGAATCGCTACATTTATCGAAAAAAATTCGCTACTTTTTCAAAAATATTAATGTAACAAAATAATAATGTAACAAATGTATAATAATAATAATGTAACAAATGTATAATTACATTGTAATAAACGTTTAATTACATTGTAATAAACGTTTAATTACATTGTAATAAACGTTTAATTACATTGTAATAAACGTTTAATTACATTGTAATAAACGTTTAATTACATTGTAATAAACGTTTAATTACATTGTAATAAACGTATAATTACATTGTAATAAATGTATAATAAGACTGTAACAAATGTATAATTACAACCTTGAAAAGAATCGCTACATTTTTCAAAAAGAATCACTACTTTTTTCTAAAAGAATTGTTACTTTTCTCGAAAATAATCACTACTTTTTCAAAAAAGAATCGCTACTTTTTCAAAAAAGAATCGCTACTTTTTCAAAAAGAATCGCTATTTTTTTAAAAAGAATCGCTACATTTTCAAAAAAGACTCACTACTTTTTCAAAAAAGACTGGCTACTTTTTCAAAAAAGACTCGCTACTTTTTCAAAAAGAATCACTACTTTTCAAAAAGAATCGCTGCTTTTTCAAAAAAGAATCGCTACTTTGAAAAAAATAATTGCCACTTTTTCAAAAAGACTCGCTACTTTTCAAAAAGAATAAAGTAACAAATGTTTAATTACATTGTAATAAATGTATAATTACATTGTAGTAAACATATTAATATGTAATATTACATTGTAATAAATTTGTAATAAGACTTTAACAAATGTATAATTACAACCTTGAAAAGAATCGCTACATTTTTCAAAAAGAATCACTACTTTTCAAAAAGAATCGCTGCTTTTTCAAAAAAGAATCGCTACTTTGAAAAAAATAATTGCCACTTTTTCAAAAAGAATCACTACATTTATCGAAAAGAATCGCTACTTTTTCAAAAAGATTAATGTAACAAAATAATAATGTAACAAATGTATAATAATAATGTAATAAATGTATAATTACATTGTAATAAACGTATAATTACAATGTAAAAAACGTATAATTACATTGTAATAAACGTTTAATTACATTGTAATAATGTATAATAAGACTGTAGCAAATGTATAATTACAACCTTGAAAAGAATCTCTACTTTTTTCTAAAAGAATCGCTACTTTTCTCGAAAAGAATCGCTACTTTTTCATAAAGACTCGCTACTTTTAAAAAAAAGACTCGTTACTTTTTCAAAAATTAAATCATAGATCACATTTCTTATGGCTTCCCAGTTAGTATCAGGGTCTGGTGTGTCAGGAATGCTCTGCAACTTTTCTTCAAGCCTGCTGCAGTATCTTTCTCTTGAGATTTGGAAGCTTAGTTTTGTGAAGGTCTTATCATTTGGGACTGTTTCACATGACAGTGTAAAAGGCTTTGGTTCAATTTATATGGATGACAACTAGACTGTGATCAGTGTCAGTCAGCTCTGTGGTATGTACGAGTGTTCATGACTTTTCTATGTTTCTGCTTCACAATGACAAAGTCCCCACAGAAATTAATGTATAAATAAATGTGGGAATAAATAAATGTAGCCAAATACATAAATAAATGAAAAATACATGTGGATAAAAATACAATTATGCATAAGGATATAAAAGTATAAATACTTATTTTTGCATTTCTGTGTACATTTATTTTCTTATCGTCATCTTTGGCATTCCATACATATGGCGATTTATCTGTTCAATAAAATAATTACTCATCAGCTGAGTAATAAAAACTTCTTGTCCGCATCACTTTTACATTTCAAATCCCCCAGTTTTTGGCATCTCCAAAAAAACATTACCAGGAGACTCTCCTCTGTTCTGCATTTTTTAATTCAAGTGATTCCCAGGAGGTTCAACCTTTCTCACTTGCTGTGACAAGTAACCTATGCCACTCACACGCCATAGTCACACACGTCTAAGTAGCCTGAGTAACTTTTCTCTATTTACAGATATGAAGAGACACACACAAACAAGTGACGTATATATGCAATTTCCCTCGAAAACCATTCTGACAGGTCTATAAAATAAATTTAGCCAGGACAGTTATCCTTTGTAAGATATCTAAATGTTCATATTACATGTAGCAAAATAACACAGGACAAACGCTTTGGGAAAAAGAAGATGCTTGTTTTTATTAGTTCTGCATCCACAACAGAGGGCTCTGATAAAGAAGTAAACTGGTTGGTTGTCTATATTTTGTCAAGAATTACAGAGGCTCTTGATCACGAACAGCATCTTTCTTGAATAAGGCTGGAGACAGAAAGGTCACTTAAAACAACCACAATGTTGAAATAGTATCTATATTAATACATCCAAAGCAAAACTCTAGTGTTCATGGAAGGAATTCCTGCAACAACTCATAAGATAAGCAAATGTCCATGAACATAATCCACTTTCACTGCCTGCTACAAGTGGAACATAAAATTCACCCTTAATCTGCTTGTTATCATGGAAGCAGCGCTTTCCATCAATGCCTTTTCAGTCCTTTTGGTGCGATAAACAAATCACTGTAAAACTCAAGTCTCCTGAATGATTATGGAAATGCTAAGTTTATTGTCCATCTTCAAGCTAGTCATCGGTCTTGGCCTCCATCTCCTCTGCATCATCGTCTCCGTCCACCTCGGCATTCTCTCTCTCCAGCCGCTCTAACTGCCGAGCCAGTTCTGTCTCATCTGTGTCCGTCACGACTTTTGGCTGCGGGGATATTGAAACAGGTCAAAGTCAAATGCTACATTCAAGACAGCAAGATTTACAGCAGCATACTGAACTATATCTTCAGCTAGCAAAGTCTCCGGGCCAGAATAATGGGAAATCGTGACCCGTATAATTTCTCACCTCCATCTGAATGTTGAAGACGCCTCTCTTCTCTTCGATCTTCTCTTTAATGACAGCCATGGCTTGATTGAGCACAGAAAGGCCCTCTGTGCGCTCCAGTGTGGTTGTGGTCATAACGTAACGCGGAGGGGCAATCAAGTTGATCTGCAACAAAAGCAATGCAATAGTGAGCAAGTATGGATCACTAGGAGGGTTTACTGGAAGGTTTCATTTGTTTTTTTGTTTTTAAAAAGTTTGCATTTAAAAACTAAGATGTAGGGAAATATGTACTTTTTACTTGATTTTTAAAGACCTATATCTAAAATATTATACCAAACTACTTCAGATTTTTTATTCTTTTAATTAGAGATGCACCGATTGATCGGCTGGTGACCGGAATCGGCCGATTTTCATGTGATCGGCGACCGGCCGGTCAGTCTGACATAATCCGATTTTATGCCGGTCAAATGCACCGCATGATTAACATCGCGCAACATCAGCATCACACGTGCACACGGAACGCGCACATGTAGGAAATCTCGTGAATTACGGCCGTTTCACACCGCAAGTGGGAGCAGCGCGTTTTTTTCTTGTTCGGCGTGCTTGTAACTCAACGATTGCAGTCACACCGGGAGCCGGAGCCGTGCGTGAGCGTGAGCGTCGAGCAGGAGCGTCGCGTGAGCAACAGTTAAGCGCGGGTTTCGGCGCCGAGTCTATTTTAGCTGCCCTCAATTTAAGTGAAAGCACTCTTTTGATGGACAAAATTAATATGATTTCATCCAAAAAGTGCCCAAAATGCACAGAATTTGCATGACTGGTGTGTTTTAACAAGAACTGAAGTAGGCTAGACTATGTCAGAAAAGAAAATGAAGACTAAAAAATATTTATAGAAAATGTACCCATTTAAACTCGTTTTTATTATTTCCCAATCGTTTCCCTGCACATGCTCCACTTGTCCTCTTTAGTCAGATGAGAGAAGAACTGTTTGAGATATAACTTGCCATTGATGTACATGATTGCAATAGGCCTGTGTGTGTGTGTGTGTGTGTGTGTGTGTGTGTGTGTGTGTGTGTGTGTGTGTGTGAGAGAGAGAGAAATATCTTTATACTGCAAGGCTATATTTATATATTATTTTATTGCCATTACCTGTTTTCATACAGAAGTTTAGTTTGCTAAATATATCAAATAAAACGGCAAATAAAACTTATATCTATATCTATCTATATATCAAATTTTTTTAGTTGGATATTGGATGTGAAAAGGAAATGGTTCCATAACACTGCACTTTAGATGTGTGTGAATTTCCTAGCCTAGATATCTAGACGTACCCTAGCGGCAGCGAAAATTATTTCGCAGCCAGTGTGGTCTAGCAACTCTCCATAGGCTTTTGAGCTGGAAAAACCAAAAACTGGTCGGGCCAATCACATAGTGTATAGAGTCGGCGGGCGGGCTTAACACAATGACGGCACAGTTCATGACGTTCCGAGTGCGTGATTTCCCTGCTACTTGAAAACAATGAAGATGCAGCGGTCTTTCGAATCGGCTTCGGCCGCGACTCTGGATGACTTGGAGTTAAGAGAACGTCACTTAAGTCATTCCTAAAAAAGGAAGATGTGTTCGGAGTTTTGACGACCTGATATGGCAAAAGTTTAATATATCAATTAGCTCCGCTGGTGGAAGAACGCATGGGACTCACTCATCCACAACCGTTCGTTGCTCTGGTTGGTTGTAGCGCTGTCCTATTGCGTGCCGAGGGATTTTGAAAGGTAACCGTTTATCCCGCCCCTCGGATTGAGACATGTCAATGGAGAGTTCCCAGACCTAACATCTTGATGTAGGTCTGGCATGCCAGGCTATGAATTTCCCACACCAGGAGTAATTTATATAGTTCTATTTTATAGCGATTATCTGTTCAAAAAATGTTCTATGCAAAATGTTCTATTAAAGAGAAGATAAATAAATATTTGTGTGTGCTGTAAAGTGGTTTGAAAAAATGAAATCGGAATCGGCTAAAATCGGTATCGGCAGGTCAAACTCAAGGAAAATCGGAAATCGGGATCGGCCTAGAAAATTGTAATCGGTGCATCTCTACTTTTAATGAGCCATTTTTACACCCCACCCTAAAAATATCTAAAAAATGTAGAAATTAAAAACAATAACAAGGTGTATTCAAGTCTCTGTATGTATGAATTGCATTTTTGAATAAATGAATATATCAGTTTTTACCTTGATTGGCATGCACTCTGTTGAACACGTCAGTCCAGCCCTCAAAGCTTCTTTCACTGCATCGATGCCCTCATAGCCATAGCAGGCCACCTCAATGTCCGCTCTTATTTTGACAGCCTGCGGAGTGAGTCGTCTGTTGATGTTGTCAATCAGGACGGCCCTTTCCTCCTCCGTCAAATCCAGACAATCTAAAATGGATGGGTCCCTACACAGAAAAAGAAACCACATCTTTATACAGACGTTTTAAAGTTAAAAACCTCTTTACAGAAACAAGGTCGTTTCATAGCCAATGGTTGATAGATGCATGCATACTTACGACACAGCCTGCTTAAAGATGTCATAGGCTCCGTATCCAGGCCGCTTGTACTTCTCATCGAACACCCAAGCAGTTCGCTGGTACAGACTCTCGAGCTGCTCATCTTTGGTGTACTCTAGGACTTCAGCTACGTGCCTCAAAATGCTGTAAACCTATAACAAACATTCGGCATCTATGAAACCACTTTCTCAAGTGAGCAGCTGGTCAAGGTAAGCCGCCTTTGATTATGTAGAGCTTTATACAATACAGATTGTTTCAAAACAGCTTCACAATAATAAACAGGATAATAATGTAAACTTCAAATATAAGACAAATATAAAACTGCTGCAAGACAGAATTACAGAAGACAATAATGTCATTATTCAGTTCAAGACAGTGTTGATTCAATTCAGTTCAATATTTGTGTTAATCAATAATGAAACTAGTTCAGTTCAGATATAAGCAGCTCTACAGAAGGCAATAGAGTCATTATGCAGCTCAAGTCAATTCAGTGTTGATTCAATTCAGTTCAATAACAATATATCATGTCACAATATATCACAATACAAAAACAAAACAATCTGTATCGAGTAGTTAACCCAAAATAAAAATAGCTGTGTGAGTATATAATGTATAATAATGCAATGGGGGAATATCTGTGGATCCTGATAATGCCAAATGTCTCATGTTACTAGTAAAAAGTGGCCTACATTATTTTAACTATATAGGCAGTGACAGAGTGCAAGCATATTCGTCTAAAATATTTCTGTATATTTCCAGCTTCAGAATCATGAACATTCATATTCTCATGTCACCATTGTCCTGTGCATTGGGTTACCAGCACCAAGTCCAACTCTATTAATTTAAATCAACAGTACATTGTTTTGTTAACCTTTACCATATGTCTTGGAGTATTACAATAATATCACATTGTGAGTTCAGTATCGTGATATGTATCGAATCGTGACGTGAGGGTATCGTTACACCCCTAGTCATTATCCATCTATCTCAATTCAGTTCAAGGTGGATAATACTAAATATTAAGAGTCTTTTAAACCTGGTCAAAGTGATCAAAGCATATTCACCATTAAACAGGTAAGGCATACTCACAGTTTTAGATTTTGTGAACTTGTCTTCGCATTTAATGGCCTCTTCAGGTGAAACTCTTCTTTTGGATAAATCAATGTAGCCTGTGGAAATGTGGATATCACAGGTTAAAAATAGAAGATGAATGGAAAAAAAGCAAGAAACTTACATTTCAAACACAGTCCCACCTTTCTCCTTATCCACACGAATGACAACCACACATTCATTGCGTCCGATCCGGATGAGTTTGTTGATGGATCTGATTCGTCTCCTGGAGAGCTCGCTGAGCAGGATCATTCCCTCGATGTTGTTGTACTCCAGCAGGCTCACATAGGCGCCCATCTCTGCTATTGACCTGACATTGACCATCACCACATCTTCCACCTCTGGAAACCTGTGCTGGTAGAATCTACAGCTGAGTCCTGGCATCTTGAACCTGGAGGAGCGAAAAGGTCTCATGTGAGAATGCTGTCTATGTAGAACGCTCACTAGGTTTTAAAACACAACCAGAGGATGTAGAATGAGAAAAGCTTCTTAGTTAGACGGCTTTTTATATGGAAAACTTCAAAGTGTGAAGACTGGAGGCTTTAACCATTATTTTAAACATACGGTAAACTATACAATATAACTGACAGACTAACTGATATGAGAACAATTTAGCACAAACCACACTACTTTCTGCCACAACAACCACTTACCGATAAACAGGAGAAATGTGTACAGGAATTTAGTCAACGTCCTTTATTTGATGATGATAATCTAAGTGCATAAATACAAAATAAGAAGTAAGAGAAACGGAAAAGCGGCGTCTCTGCTCGCTATTTCATCAGCATGTTGAAAAGCAGGCGGAAGAGGAAGTCATTACTTTTGTTCGCGGCTTGTTAAGTTGCTCTGTACCGCCATCCAGTGATTCGGAGGCGCACTTTCTTTTGGTGATAACGCGTCAGAAAATATTTGATTTTTTTTTTCATTACATTTTTCACAGTAAATATTTACATTATGTAAACACCTGTTATTCATAACGAAACTATTCATGACATCACACAATGTTACTTATACTTAAAATTAATATCTTGGTACTTATCGAGAGTGGTTTATGGCTGATATCCAGGTCACATTGTTTGGATTTGGAATTTTCTTATAGGCTACTTAGTTATCATCAAAGCCAGATTTTTTGTCAAAATAGCAAAACAGTTTTGAAATATTATTACACTTTAAAATAACAGTAATATGGAGGCTACTTTATTTCATGACAAATCATTACTCCAGTCTTTAGTGTCATGATCATTCAGAAATTATTCTAATATGCTGATTTGGTGCTCAAGAAACATTTCTGATTATCAATGTTGAAAACAGTTGTGCTGCTTACTATTTTTTGTGGAAACTGTGATAGCCTATTCAGGATTCTTTGGTGCATAGAAAGTTCAAAAGCATTGGTTTAAAATATATATATTTTTGTAAATATGTAGAAATCTTTATTGTCACTTTTGATTCATTTAATGTATCATTTCTGAACAAATGTATTAATTTCCTTCAAAAACACTTTATTTTAAGATGTCCTTGTTACAGTGTAAGTGTACGCCTAGTGCTGAGTAATATTTATTAACAACACAGACTTACTAAATTATTATTTTTTTTTTTTTTCATGACAATTAAGCACAATTTCCTCACCAATTCCAATTTCCTTCCTGGATATTTTACTTTTGAGTTTGTAATTCTTATTACTGTAGCCTCATAAGCATAGTCCAATGAAATTAATCTTGGCAGAAAAGTACAAAAATGTGGAATACAGTAGAACCGTGAAAGACTACTTCACAATTTTACGTGGTATTTTAATTCAGTTTGTTTTCCAACACTGTTCTCCTCTAGGAATGAACAGTTGAGGCATAACACCTTCGATTTTTTAAAATATTTTTTATTACTGGAAAGCTGATGTTCTGAATTTAAATAAAATGTTAGCACTGAATCTTCATGCACTAATACAGCTACCATCACAAACAACAAAAGACGAACACTATTAATCTGGGCTTTAATTCACTTGTATAATTCATACAAAAACAGTTGAGAAGGAAAGGTGATTCTTCTTTTACATTCATTAATTCTACTTCCAGTTGACTGGCATGTAACTAGATCACATGAGACACAGCGGGTTACCGGCTTCGTCCACACTCAACACAAACCAAACTGTAGTGCACAAGAGTAAAAACCTCAACGGTGTGTTTTCCTAGTGTCTGAGCTATTCTGTACATTAAAAAAATATTTAGGTTGTTTTCTAAATACACACTGATTATCTCAAGAAAAAAAAAAAAGTAAAAACAGTTCTGCAGAACAAATCTCAGTAAAGCTGCTTGCAGTGTGTGCTTGAATCAGCTATGGAGATAATACTTGCCTGCAATAACCAACAGTCCTTCCTTTAAAAGAGTTGTTATCAATCACACACACACACCCTTCTGTCCATCAAGATCAAGAGTTCTACACTTCCAGCATTTGCACTCACACACCCCAAAATCCTGCATTCACAAGCATACCATCAACACACACACACACACACACCTCACCTCAACACAGAGCTGATGTTTCATACTTTTGATCATCCAAAGTCTAATGGGAGAATCTCATGAAACTCGTCCAGGTGAGATTACGCTCACAAAAAAAAAAAAAAAAAAAAAAAAAAAATTTGTATAAAGAAAATGGAGCCTTTGTAACCATATTATTGCCACAAAAATTAAGCCGTATTTTTTTTTTCATAAAAAAGTCGGATCATTTTATTAATTATTTTCAAAAGCGATTCAGAGAGTGAACAGTATTTTGACAATAACAATACACACCATATGATTTTATAAGCGCAAATTAAGGGTACAAGAAATATTTCATGAGAATTTGGAGGAAAATGCTTAATTGTTAATATCACAACCTAAAAAGATTTGAATGCTTAATGCTTTTCTTAAAAAGAATGAAGCCTGTTTTTCTTTCTGATGTAGGGTGAACTATGACCAGGACATGTTCTTCACAAGTTTCATGAGACCCTAATAAATGTAGAGCATCACCACAAGTTAAAACACAAACCCTTTGCTCATGTTGAAATGGGTAAAACACAACACAGAACATTCAAATCCAATCAAAAACAAATCACAAAGGAAACATTTTAAATTGTGCAGAAGCATTGACTAAGACTAGGCCGTGCTGACGCTCAGATGGTGAACCTCATAGTATTGCTGTCAAATACTGTTTACAATACTGGTTACACTTCTGAGTGCTGGAAGTGCATGTGAATACTGAGACAGAGAGCATAGACTTAAATGTAGCCACTTACATATTGCAGCTATGTTCAGATGTGGCCTGGCAAACTCTCAAAAAACCTGAAGTTTACTATTAAACTGTCATAATCACAGTGCTGCTTGCCATAGGAACATTGAGGCAGCGCCACAGGGATAGAAGGCATCAGTCGCTTCAAGAGTTATCCCTTTTGGTGTCTTGTAAGGTTAAAAGAGTTGTTCAGACACAATGGGCACTGAACTCACTGCTGGAAGTTCTGGTCACATCGGACATCAAAGGTTAAGGGTGAAAAGAGGAGGAAACAGAGTGCACAAATGTCATTGTCCACTAATAATGTCAGGGAGCCCAACGTGTTCTGGAGTCTGAATATCTCACTGGACTTTTAGTACAGTTGCTTTCCCGCAATGCAAACCCATCTCTACATTTGTCCAAAAACTTCTTTAAAAATACATATAGAATATTTACAATCATAAATAGTTATCAAAAGCAGTATAGAAGCCCTAATTCTACTGCTGCACCAAGTGCTGGTAACTCTCTCACTGGAATGTGGCTAAACGGACTCAAAAACACACCACAAATTATGACATAAAAACTCATTCCCCCAGCCTGCCGACAGTGCAGTGCAGACAGACACTTCTGTCCAGGTCTGAGGGGGCGTGGTGTCCTTATCTAGTGTCCAATCCTGGGGTGTGAAAACAGCGGTATTCAGTCAACTCTATGAAACCCGAGAGTGTGTGATTCTATCTGCTCTTCATTTACATCCGTCTGTGGAGGGGTCGCTGTGAGTGGGGGTCATCTCAGCGCAGCCAGGATGAGGGGACCCACTGAGGTTCAGTGTCTAGTTTATTGATGAGACGCAGCAGCTCCTGGTAGGCCTTGTCCAGGTCAGTGTTAACAATGGCGGCGTCAAACAGGTGGCCGTAGTTCTGCTCCATCTCCCGGGCCTTCTCGATGATGTCTCTCAGCTCCTCAGGCTAAAACAAGAGAGAACAACAACAAAAGTGTGAAACCAAGAGTATGGGAGTGGATTTGTAGTCTAAAGGTGGGTTCACATAGAACATGTTTTTGTGTTTAAAAACGCGAGACAACGGGCAGGAGAATGGAAAAAAGCACAAGGGCCGCATCCGAAAGCTTAGGCAGCTGACTTATTCCCTCACTGCCATATCAGGCAATGACTTTGAAGGCAGCGTTTGCACACAAAGGTACCACACGAGCATTACAGTTTAATTACGTACAACTAAATAGAGGGAGCTTTGGAGCGAATATTTAATCACTACAATACTAATTTCTTTATTTTTCAAGCTCAACTGTCATCAAATGGATGAATCGATCAGATGAAGGTTGACAGAATGTGACGTGATCATTGGATTCAGACATGCCTTGTTGCGCCTCTACCTTTGTATGCAGCATTTTTCAGCTTTTAAATGCAGCCAAAGTCTCAAGATGATGCAAGCACAATGGTCAAAAGCATCTGACTGGAATGAGCACGGTGGAATGCTATAACACATTCTGTTAAGAGTTGATCCTTCAGGGTCGATGTTTACCTTTGGGTTTTTGTTGTCTTTAGCTAAGAGGGCTCTCAATCGCTCCTGGGATGGAGGAGCAATAAAGATGATGTAGGGCTTGAGGTCCGAGCTGCGCAACACTTTTAAAGACTAAAAAGAGAGAAGAAAATAGTGAGTAACAAGATTTCTAAAGGAAATGCATGTGGTACTTGCTTTGCAAAAATGGCAAAATGCTAGGAAAGGGTGCTCCTGGAGGGCCATCTCCCAGCAGAGTTTAGCTCCAATCTTAATTAAACACAACCTAAGCCAGCTAAGGTCTTCAAGATCACTAGAAACATCCAGGCAGTTGTGCTGTAGCTCAACTCTGCAGGATTGGACGTTTTAGGAGATCACCAGGCATTGTTGCACTGTTTCTAAAGTGTTCTGAGTGCTCCATCTCACCTGAGTGTGTACACACAGTAGGCAGATTTTGCCCGTGTTGATGACTTGTCGGACCGAGTCTGTGCTGGTACCGTAGAGGTTCTTTTCAAACTCTCCAGACTCTATGAACTTCCCTGCTGCAGAGTCCATCTCAAAAACCTGACGGGACACAAAGTGGTAGTCGCGGCCATTCACCTCAATATCACGGCGGCTTCGTGTAGTGTCTGTGGCAAAGAGAGTTTCTTGTTCAGGACTTTACAATAAAATAGGCTGATAAACAATAATAAAAAAAACAACAATAAAATGTTTTCAGACACTTACGAGGAACAGCTCCAGCAAACCTGTCCGGCTCACTGGAGAGGAGTCTTTGTCTGAGCTCATTTTGCCCACAGTTCGGTGGGCCGATTAGAGCAATGGGCCGTTTGCGATTGGCTGGCTGGTGGTATAGTGCCATCTCTTCATATGTGAGAATCTCCTCATTATCAAAATCTGCAAAGCGAGAGGAAACACATTAAGCCCAAAGTATACTTCGGTTTTTATGCACACAATAGGGGTGCAACGTAAATTTCATCATCAGCACAATAGACGCATACTGCACGTGCACCTCGCGCTTCTGCAAACTCTGTGCACTCAGCTCGCACATACACCTTGGTTTTTTGCACTAATTGCATATTTGTCAACATGGACAGTTGTTACACAGTCGAAAAAGAAAAGGATGCGACAGAACAGCAACAACAAACTACTGGAGAGGGTACCAACGAGCACCTGATTAAAAAAAAACCTTTTCATGGTTTATAGGGGTCTAGAGACCCCTCAGTACGTTCACTTTCATTCCAATATTTGTCTGAAAAGACTCACCATCATTTTTGTTAGCATTGTATTGCATCTTCTTTCGCTTCTTCTTGTTCTTTTTAGCACACCAAAGTTTTCCTGACAACAGAAGATGAGTGTTAATAAGAATTAAGAGCTGTGCACGTATGCGTTTAGGAGTGTTACAACCCTAACCTGATTTCTCAGGCTCTTTATCCTCCTCTATGGTTTGCTTCATTGCCTCTCTCTGCTGCTGGAAACTTTTGCCTGGACGATCAAATGAGAAGACATGCAAGTATTAAAGTTAATGTAAAAAAAAACTAGATCGAATTATTTAAACACAGATCTGGATCCACAGAATAGTATGTGATATAGGGTACCAGGGACCAGGCCAGCAAGAGGCTGGTTGTCTTCGTCCCCGTCTCTGTAGGCCTGCCACCAGTTGGGGTCGTCTTGGCTGATTATGTGGAGGATGTCTCCCTTCTGAAAGCACAGGCCGAGCTCTCGGCACGGCACGTAGGGGTCATCTGAGGGGTCGTAGTCAAAATGCGCCTTCACATGCGTCTGGGTGAATATGGAGATATGGGTTTAATCATTAATTAGTTTTTGCACTGCTTCATTTAAACAGCAATTCATTTAGTTCTGAGTGAAGGCCTCACCACAGTCTCTTTAATGGGAGGTGGTTTGATCTGCGCGCTGGGGATGAGGACGAAACTGAGTACGCCATGCATGTCCGCCTGTGAACACAGCAAAAACAACCTAAAACATTCAGAAAACCTTTATTTTGTAAGCAAGGGTATAACAAAAATGTTCCGTGGCCAAAAAAAAAAGCATTTGGATACTTAAGTAATATTTTAAAAAATGATTTTAGAACAGACTTTTATGTATTTTTGTTCTTCCTGCCATCTTTCTTTAAAATTAATTACCAGGATATCGAAGACCTCGTTGACGTCTTTGCCACGGATTTCCACACCGTTGATCTCCAGGACCTCGTCTCCTTCGTGCAGGAGGCCACTGCGTTCTGCCGCCCCTCCTTTCACAATGCGGCTGATGACCACGCTGTCCATATCGTTTCTAACTGTCGCTCCCTGTATAAATACGCATGTGCACATTAAGTCAAAATGTGTCAAAAGTCAAGAAGTGCATAATATGGTGAGAAGAGGCAGTGAAAGAACGTCCTCACCAATGGGACGTCCTTGGCTTTCTCGATCCGCACGATTTTGACAGTCTCCCCGCCCCACTGGGTGAGTGTCTCACTTGCATTGAGAGAAGGAACAAGAGGCTCCAGCTGCATCTCTTGTTCAGCCACACTGTCATGGGCCATCATAAGCGCCTGGAGGATATAGAGAGCCAGAGATGATGGGTTATATTCAGGATGAAAGCCACTGAGTTCTGCAGAGTAGACATGAGCCGGACCTAAACGTCATGTTGAGTTCAAAGAGCTCAGGCTCTCGGACAGGGATTGTGATTACAGCTGTGAGCATCTGCACAGCAGCATAGAGCAGTGGTTCTCAAACCTGTCCTGGAGTACCACCAGCCCTGCACATTTTGTCTCCCTTATCTATCACACACGATTCAACTCATGAGCACATTAGTAGAGACTGCACGACCTGAAATGGGTGTGTCAGATATAGAAAGACATACAAAATAAGCAGGGCTGGTGGTACTCCAGGACAGGTTTGAGAACCACTGGCATAGAGGATACATGGGGGAATGTGAGGGATGTGTGTACATGTGATGGTGACAGACCTGCATGTGAGATGTGGTGAGCAGGCTGCTTAGCTCAAGTCCATCCTTCTGTGAGCTGTTGTGCATCATGACCTCGACCTGTGAGGACAGATTCAAAAACATCAGATCATTAAATAAATACAACTGCTACATTAATCATGCTTTAAAGTACCTTGTACAGTGATGTTGTTACCAACAAAGTACCAGAAATTAGGGCTCCTGATTTCAGCAGGTTTTCTTGGTAACGCTTCCTTTTACAGTCCTGTTACCCATGTACATACTATGTACGTATTATAGTAATTACAATTACTGGGTAATAACTAGGTACTAACCCTAAACCTACCCCTAACCCATGTACTTACCTTATATTAGCCAGTACTTTCTAGGTAAGTACACTGTAAGTACACGTAAGTACTGTACTGTAAAAGGAAGCGTTACCGTTTTCTTTAGGTTTTTGTAAACACAGTACAGCTTTGTATCATGGGTTAACTTTAGAGAAACCGGGGCCTCTGAGAGGTTTTTGAAATTATCCTACAGATACAAGTCATTGTAGTCTGCTACCATGTTCAAAAAGTATAAAGGGACATTTTTGGAGAACTTTGAGAAACACAGTATTTATGAGACAATGAGATCATATTTAAGATCTTGATAAGCTCTGGATGAGATGTGCCCACATTTGAATAGACAGTCCACTGCCTCTATCCCATGAGAGAGAGTGTTACTGTGAGAGAAGAGCACAGGTCAGTGGATCAGGGTCTTAATGACTGTGAAGGACAGAGCAGCTCTCTGTCTGTTATTGTCCTGAGAGAACCAAAAACAACAACCATGAGTTTATCAGGCTCTCATTAGCACTTTCCACAACAGTGATTCCAACTAAAGAGCCTTTTTACCAAACATCAGCTTCATTTGTGCACATACTCAATCATTTGGGTAACTATTAATGTCAGATCATCCGAACAGTCCTTTAATCAGGGTTATGATTATGAATTATGCGTGGTGCCATCAGGCAATGACACTGTCATTACGTCATTTTCCTATGATTAATCAAATGCCATTGACACAACTTGATTATACCTTTATTATACCAACGAACAGACAAAACAAAAGTTGCCAATGTGCATGTTTTATTTTTGTACACTGGCTACAGGTATTTTGGTAATATGGCACAGGGGCGGTTAACCAGGAGCCTGAGAATGGTGTAATCACTTTATTTTTTTAGAGAAAAGAGTTGGGTGGGGTGTGTTAAGTAATCACTTATGTTCCATCAGCTTTACTAACCACTTGTTGACACCAACAACATACACGCAATACAGAAATGCACTGACAGCTTGTGACTGTATGATTATAATACTGAACTGAATCTGACCGTGTTGATGACTGTGATGATCATTCAATACAACAGGAAACAAATAGTCTGAAATTGTTCTTTGATGCGAATTGATTTCCAGGCTGTGTTCAATCAATGTAATGGAAGCATCAATAAATGAATAGTTAACAATAGAACACACATTTTGCAATGTGTCATTTCACCTCTCTCTTTGTAAAAGTGCTTCGAAAAAAAAGGTCTGAAGCTGTTGTGCTTCACAGATACAGAGAGTTTCTGTGGGTCAAAATACACTATTGATCAAAAGTTTGGGGTCGGTAAAAGTTGTGCGCAAAGTGGAATTATCAATTTAATGCTTGCTGAATAAAATTATTACTTTCTGTATGTGAAATATTTGTCCAGTGAAAATATTCTGGATTTGTATGTTTTATGATGGGACCTTGAACCTTTTATGGACTTGAAAGGACCATTACAAATATTCTCCTGATCATTTTTCCCCCCCTCTCTTCTCCTCTCTGTAACCCCTGATATGGCGTTAACAGTATATGAACATAATTGTATGTGATACCCCTAGTGACCTGTTTGTTCTGTTCTTTTGAATGTGTTCAACTAAAAGCATATATATATATATAAAGTATTACTTTCTTTAAAAAAAAATCTTGCTGACCCCAATTGTTTTGAATGGTAATGTAATTCTCCATCTACATCCTGTTCATCTCAGTCAAAACACAAGACCTACATTAGACATGGAGTTATAGGTTTGGTCATTTTTCATGAGGTCCCTAATTGCGATAATGAATCAACTATCCCACAAACACTTTTTCAAAAGCTCCTTCACCAGGTGGAGGGTGGTCACAATCATGTGGCTCTCTGCACAAATTATGACATTATGTCCACAGACTGCAGGATTTAACCAAGAGTAATTTGACGAAGCAGATGCAGGCCTTGTCTTTTATGTTTTCAAGCATCTATCCTTTTTGGCCGTCAGAGAGGAAAAACCCTCACATTTTTTGTTTGTCTGGCTGCTTTTTAGAAGTAGTAGAGATATTCTAAAGCCATAAGTGTCAGAGCACTTCTTATAATTGCAGCATCCATATTTACAATTCATGCATGTTTCCTGCTCATCCTAACACTTTGACTTTGTAAGGCACTCCTCGATCCATGTATGTAACAAAGTGGCGCTCACCTCTTGTGCGAGGCTTTGTGCGTGATCCGTCAGGGGGTAGGGAGGGCTGGGCCGGTTCATATTGTGGGCCACGGCGTTGTGAATGTTGAAGGCTTTCTGGAAGTCAGGCTTCTGGACCAGCTGTAGAACCAGCTCCACGTCCTCTTGACTCTGAGAGTCATTTAAACTATGCTGCACCTGCTTGAGGGACATCAACAGGTCCTCCAGCTCTGAAAGTATAACACCAACCATAAATTCAGTCTCAGGTATGCTTACAGATCACTCATGTACTTGAAAACACCCTGCCACTAAAAACAGAAGAAACAGTGACTTGACCCAGGAACAACAGTACATACCTCTGAATCATTCACCCGGAAAACTGGTGACATGGCCTCTCACAAAGACTCCCCCCACTGAGCATTTTTACTGTTCGTCATCCACACTGCACAACGTTTGAGTAAATCACAGATGTAATTCAGCTATTCTAATGTTGTCCTTGACGAACCAAGTTTTAGCTATGCTGTAATTCTCCTTTATAGCGTCTAATGCCATAATGAGAGAATGGCAAGACACAATAGGAGTGAGAAGTGGGTGTGTTTTCTTTGTGTGGTGTGTAATGTCTAAGTGGGTGGCTAATAGAGGTATTAGTGTGGACAAATCAAATATTTTAAGTGTTGCCTTTGCTTTGTCCTTGACGGGATGTATTTTAGAGACAATTTAGTGCCACAAAGAGTTTTGGATAGTCCAAAAAACGCATAGAGAGAGCGTGACAAACAATGCAGAGATGAACTGGAATACAAACTAAAAGGAAAACCGAAGAAAAACAAGAGTGGTCTGGGTCAGAATGTTTCATAAAAGGCTTTTTAATTAACCTCCCCCTCTGAGGGTCCTCTTCTCCCTCCCTGAGGAATTCCACTCACACATCCCTCAGCCATGACTTTCAGCAGCAACTCCAAGTGCCCCTCTCATTTGCACAGTAACTCATTTTGTTCTTCCTTGCCATGCATGCTGGACTTCCCCTAATGGAGATCTATTCAAAACCAAGAATTCACTAGAAGAGCTGAACATGTGTGTCTGTCCAATCTAAAGAATTAAACTCCAGTGAGAGGCTTCATGCAGAGAGAAGCTAAAGAGAAGGAATATGAGCTTGTCTTGTGAGGAAAGCAAAGAAAGGTGAAAAACAGATTTAGAAAATTCGGCTAAAAGGATATTAAAATAGTGGGGCATATAAATGGACTTTTGTCTTCATTTAGTTTCAAGTCCAGTGGCTCTTTGGCTCTTGAACACTCTTAGTCATCAGAAACACGGCGCTTTGCCTCCTCCGAGAATGACTTCACTTATGCATGCTGATTTTAGCAGTCAAGAGCCCTTCAGTAACTCCGATTCAGATTCAACCTCTCATTTCCATAAATGTTACTTGCTTTTTGTCACTTTTTTGATGAGATTGTGGAGGGCAATGGATGACTTATCTTTCCTGGACACTGTTTGGCTTTTATAAAAAGTCTGAATGTCATTGTAAATAATACAAAAAACCCCAGCATGATATGCAGACTATTATAGTATTTAATAATATTTTGAATTAACTTTTAATATTACATCTTCAATTTTGATTTTAGTAATTAACTTTTTCATTTCTATTTAGCTTTGTTTTGGTTTTAGCATTTCTAATTTTCCATAAAGTTTTTCATCTAATATCGATATTTTATTTTATTTCAATTAATGAAAATGACTGATGATTTTTAATAGGTTTAGTTAACATTAACAACAATGATATTGCCTGATTTGTCAGTCTTAACACTAATGAACAGTAGGGATGTGATGGTGAGGAAATTTTCCCACTAGTTAATTGACGTGTGACAACACCGGTAATACCGGTATTGCTTTTAAAGCGCTTATGGTGCATGACCACTGTCGCGGAGCAGAGCGAATGTTTCAGTTAATTTCTATGGAAGTTGAGCCTCACATTCAGGCCATCCTTAAAAATATTTTGGTTTGCAGTAAAAAAAAAAAAAAAAAAAAAAAAAGGGTCGGTAGGTAGGTCTATATTTTTTTTTTTCAAGATTCAATGTAAAAAAAAAAAAGGATAATTTTGGTCATGGTGATTACGTCGGTATGAATTTAAACAAATTTGCATATTTTGACGTCACTGACTGGGTCTTCAACCCATGCCTTCAGGCGCACCATTGCGAACCTCATTCTGATACATGTTATAGACCACAAACAATTTGAAATCTTTGTAAAAAAAAAAACATATTTATTGCATTAATTCCAGCTGCATTAATTTGGAAAAAAATAGGCAGAATCAAAAAAAGAAAAGAAAAAGGAGCCACTAGATTTCAATGAAAGTGGATTTTCAGAGGGAAACAAATAAATTAAAATGACTTATCTCACCAGCGCCGCGCTGACCAATAAAACAGCGCGTTTGGCACCATTCGTTTACATTTGACCCATACAAGCCCCCTTTCTGGTCTAGGGGCAGGAAAGGAGGGTAACAAAAAGTTGCAGGGAGAGAGTGAGAGATTTGACCCATAAACATCTGCTATTATTAACGGAAATCAGTGAGGTCAAATGGCTAGGCGCATTGTAGGAAACTATAGGCCGATTAAGTAGTCCTAACATATTATGGAATGGTCGATATTCTTTTGTGCTATTTAGTACATTTCGGTATGGGATGTGCTGTTTTATTGGTCAGCGCGGCGCTGGTGAGATTAATTCGCGCCGCTCTGACCATTGGCTGGCGCAAGCAAACACTTCTCCCTGCGCTGTCGAGTCTGTCGCGCTCGCGCGTCTCGGTCCATTGAGCCACGCAGATTACAAGTCAGCGCAGCGCGAACTCTGTAACTCACCGCGCCGTTTCGTCCCCCTTTCGGTGTGTTTGGCTTCCCATACTTATGTGTGTTTGTTTGTCAGAGCCTGCAGTTGCTGTGTGACGCGCGTTCGCGGTGGGCATATCGTGACGAGCTGAACGCGCTCCGAGAAAAGGCCGTTAACATCGATTCCCTAATTCTCCTATTCCCTATTTGACCATTAAGAATTTCGAATAATGAGCGTAGGCTCATTATATAAATGTAGGCTCATACAGACGTATTTCAAAAGCAGCCGCGCCGCAGCCATCATCACCGAGCGCGAACCATTGACAGTGAATGAAACGAAGCGAACGCACAGGCCATAGTGTGACATGCGTAAACCAATGGTGTAAACATAATCATAATAGATGACGCCACGGGTTTTTATTTTAAAGAAAGAACGTAGCCTACGCAATTTATATTCACAATACTTACTATAATAAATTTATATTATTTTATTGCATTTGTATTAGTTGTTTGAAGAGTAAAAAAAAAATCGGTCGGTCTTAATGCAAGTTTACAACCGGCAAGTCGGTCGGACTAAAGGGAAAAATAAATAAATAATTTGGTCGGTCCTAATTTGACAGGGTCGGTCGGGTTACGGCAAACAAGAATATTTTTAAGGATGGCCTCACGCACGAGCGTGAAGCTCAACTTCCGTATGAATGAACTGAAAACACTCGCTCTGCTCCGCGCCAGTGGACATGCACCATTATGAATGGCTGTGCGCATTTTACTTTCGCTTTCGAATTAGCGGCAATTCAGGGGCGGCAATTACTTGAATGGTGGGTTCTTTATTATTCATAATAATGAAAAACACAACAACAAAACAGTACAATGACAAACTCGCTTATATTAAACTTAGAAAGTTTATTAACAAAACGAATAAGCACGGCATACACCATGCAGATAAATGAAATCTGACTCCTGCTGCTTATCTGTGCTGCGACTCTTGTTTGGGTCACGCTGCATTGAGCAGTCGCGTTCAGTTTTTAATTGTAGTGTCTGTTCCCTAACTGAACTAATTGATTTTTATTACAATAAAAAAATCTAAATGACGGTGCCGCGGTGGGCAAGTGATGTAACCGGTATTGCAGCTGAAAACCGGTAACTAGTGATCGACAGATATATCGGCCAGCCGATATATCGGGCCGATATTTGCGGTTTTTACGTGTATCGGAATCGACCGATACGCGGCTGCTGCGTTCGCCGATAGTTTTTTCCCGGCATTATTTATAGACAGGCGTCCACAGGCAGCTCTGTGCTGCTGGAGACGCTGCAGTTCACGTGCAGACCCTGCACTGTCCCTCCCCCACTAGCAGAGTGCAACCTGCGCTTCAAGATAACGGTAACTTTTAAACTTTCAAAGCATCTTTTAACTGTTTGACTGCTGAAATATTGTCAAACACTTTGAAAATGGAAACACGTTGCTCTATAACTGTTATGTGGTTGCAACTATATAGCTAAGCAAGTTTGTGGGTCCAAATGGAAAACGCGAATGACTCGTCTATAAAACTGCTTGCTTGCCATTGTATTTAGGGAGCTGCAAATAGCTGTAGGCTATCCGTTCAGTATGCATTAGGGCTGTCAATGAATATTCTAAATACGAATATATATTCGAATAGTTTAAAAAAACTGAATTTTGAAGGTGAAAATTAATATTCGAATGTGGAAAAAAACCGGTATGCGAGGAGAGCGTGAGGGTGAGTGCGAGAGCGAGAGAGAGAGTGCGCCTGCGAGTCCGGGCGAGCCAGAGTGAGCTCTGCGGTCTTGGCCATTAGTTGATTTACTCGTTTTTTTTTGTAGTAATACGTTGTCAAATATGTTTAAACTCAAATAAGCTACTTAATACTAGTAGTTATGTCTCTTTGTATTAATTTGTCCTGTTATTGACGTAATGCGCGTCATTGACCAAATGCACGACGATATGTTCAAATATGTTTTTTAGAGGGAATATACAAACGCCATTTGAGCAAATTTGACAGCCCTAGTATGCGTACGGTAGCTGTTACGAACACTGGTCATAGGATTAAGTAATACCAACGTTGTTCCGTGCTTTTTGTGGGAGATTTATTCAGCGACCACCTGGCTGAGGTTTGGACGCGTGTGGTGTGTGTCTCCCTCGCCATCGCAGTGATATTAGAGACTAGACATGCTCATTTTATTTTATGTAGAAAAATTTAAACCATGGCAGTAAATAGTTTGTTACTTTTAAAATGAAGTACATTGTGCACTGTGCACTTTATTATGCTGGTTGCTACTGTGTGCAATAGTGTAATTATTTTATTTATGCTTAAATATTTATTTTCAGCAGTGAACTTTTTTTTGTTCTACCTCATGTTTTTAATATTTGTTAAATATTGTTTATCTACTTGTTCTTGTTCTACCTGACATGTTTTTACTATTTGTGAAATATTGATTTTTTTACGTTAAATAAATGTTACTTTTATTAAATTGAGACCTGTAACATTTGTTAACATCATGTCATTTTTATGATGTAAATTGAGGGAGCAAAATGTATCGGCTCCAAATATCGGCTCAAGAAAATCAGCAGCCCGTATCGGTCATCGGCTAAGGCTGATGGGGAAAAAAATCGGTATCGGCACTAAAAAATCCATATCGGTCGATCCCTACCGGTCACACCAACTATCGCAGCAAGCCTAATGGACAGATGACAGAAACAAGGAGGAGAACAAAGGGGATTGAAAACTGGAAATGTTGCAAGCCAGATTCGAACTTGTATCACCCACATAGGCACCATGAATCAGTATGTATGCTTAGTACACTAAACGCTAGGCCACGGCTCAACCCACAAACAATACCGCTGCTTGCTCTGCATGTCATGGGTGGATTTATAGTAGCAATCTTTGGAAACAAATGCTTATTAGCAGTTTATTACACCCACCTAGTAAAGCTGGTGGTGCGGTGAGGCTCTGCAGACCACCTATGGAGCCACCGGGACCTTCCATTTGCTCAAAGGTGGGGTTATCGATGCCCACCTTGGGATTCTGGGAAAGTTTCTTGAGGCGCATGGACGAGTTAAGGTCGAGTTCCTGCCGGTTGCGGCCCTCTTCCTCTCGCCTCCTGCGGTCCTCCTGTTGCTGGCGAATCCTTTCCAGCTGGGCGCTGCGTCTGATGGGCAGGGTACGAGCACCCAGCTCACTGGGACAGTCCACCGCCATCTCCCTGTGCCTCTGCACCACCTCCTCCAGCATGTCAGTGCCTCCCCCGCCATCTGACTCAGTCACATATCCGTTCATGTGGGAGGTGGTCATCATGGCTGTGTGTGTGTGTGGTGAAGTGTGGTGTGAGTGTGTGTGAGGTATGAGGGTTAGGAGGGGTGCTTTCTGCATGGTGTGAGGGCTGATGCCATGACAGCAGGGCTGAGGTCAGTAGCTCCGGACAGAGAGCCACACCTGGAAGAAAGGGAACTGCGGTTAGAGGAGTCTTCCACAACCAAGGATATTTTATGTATATTTAAAAATATTTGTATTCACAACATGTATATTATGCATTATCTATTAATTTACAATAACACCAAACATTTTTATGGACAAACTAAGTATTAAACCTAATTCATAATTTCTTTCAGAACTGTTTGTGCTACAGACATGAATGATTCATCAAATCATGTGGCTTGAGGAGAGAGCTTCTATTACTAAGGGATTAGAATTATGATTTTCTTTTGGCATACAATGAAACAAAACAAAACAAAAAAATCCCATACACTTGCATAGAAGTAGGGACTGATGTAATATCTAGAGACTAGACACATGTGGCTGAATGATTAATTGAAATGAAATCAAAATGGCAATATGGATTAGTCCAATTATCAAGTGACAAAGTCTGTGATTTAATTAAATAAATATATGTGCAGTGCATCTATCTAGATGTTTAGTCATTTAATAGCCTGGTTGACACCAGACCCTTCTCAGTTGTAACAGAGTGGGTCTGGGGAAGGTTCAATCACAGCCCATTTCCAAAGGGGCGTCCCCAACGGTCACTCAAAAGCCTCTGGGCTCAATTGGATAGACCTAAAACCAATCAGAGCGATCGTCATCGTGTAAAGCCCGCCTCAACGTTTGTGATTGGTACCTCAAATTGGAAAAATTGGAAATGGGCTACAATGGGCTCTTGGCCAGAAGGACTTGCAGAGCAAATCTCAAATTTGCCGTAAGTTTGTCAGGGTTTTCCCAGGCTAGTAATTTAATTTTGTTTTTTTCTGGACAGTGGAGATTTGATAGGAAGTGGAGGAAGAGAAAGGGGGAATGGGTTTGGGACAAGACTCAGACTGGACTCAAACACGGGTCCCATGAACAAAACAGCCATGATGAGCAAAGCAATGATGATTAGGAGTACTTGATTATCCACTAAAACACAATGCATTTACAGAACACAAAAACCTCTATGCGGTCACAGCAGAAATTTCTCTTTTCTTTATTATTGTACCCTCATTCAACACAGCTGATTAATTACAGTGCTATTTATGGCATTCAGTCCAGTATGAGTGTACAGTTATTTAAAAAGCTGTGTCAAAAAACTGCACAATACGATGACGAAACAAACAAGCTGTCCTCACGTTAAAGACTCAGAGCGATAAACAAACAGCCACACGGTCCTCTTCTCCACCGTAGTGGCCTTGTGGTTGTGAGTGCTGTGTCAGCTGTCTGAGACAGGCCAGATCACTGTTATCTGCCCCTTTATCATCCCCATTTCAGACAGCTGACACTTTTCAGAAAACCCCAACTCCCTTTTTCAAACCCCCAACAAGACCTTGCAGATGTGAGCGGCCCTGACCCTTGACCCCTCAAGCCTTTCCTTCCATCTTCTCAGACAGTTTTCAGTAACAAACAGCCCTGAGTCATGGCTCTGTCACTCAGTGAGTCAGGTGATGAGGCGCGCATTTGAGGGAGACGCTGGAAGAAGAGAGTATTCACGGAAGGATTTAGGACTGAAGTGTTTGCAATCGACTAGATACCAATGTTCTACCACTGAATTATGCATGAGACAGTGATACCACGTAAAATGGGAGTCTTCTTCCAGAAAAACCCATCCCATAGGATAAAGAAAAGACTGCACAGTGAGGATAATGGATAACCTTTGTCCCTTCATCTACCCCTCCTCCATTTCACTTTCCTCATTCCTCACTTCTCTATCTACTCCCATTATGGGCACACAATATGAGAACCAGCCCATGCTGTGATGAAATATCATAAATATAATATTATGTATCTGACCTCCTGACAGGTAAGGGTCTTATATGGGTAAGAAAATCTGAATACTGAAGTGACCCACATTAATATTGTATGTTTTTTTAATGAATAACAGTTTTGACCAGCATTTCCATGACTTATTCTAAAATTATTATTATTATTTTTTTACAATAGTGTTCTTGAAGGTTAGTTTTCAATATTCTTAAAGGCCTACGCACTTCACGTGGGCCTGAAGAGCTGCAGGCTAATTTTAGGAGTGCTAAAGGCAATTTAATAACTTTTCAAAGTTCAGCCTGCCCAAACGCATTATCTTATCTCCCATCTTGTTGGAGTCAGTAAATAAAGCAGTGCTGATTACAGAAGTTGTTACAGCATAAGTGGTGATGGCTGAGATGAAATCACTGGAGTTTCTGGGAAACTCTTGATTCACTCTGCCTCTCAGTCTGACCTCAGCGGAGCCTTCTGTCTGATACAGAACCTCTGTTATCTTTAACACTATCCCTCATTTAGTCTAGCTTCACTCCTCACTAATGGACTGCTCCCCTCACTTCTGCCATGCCCTACCTCAGTTTCCCCTCCTCCCGTTAAGACTGCTCTGAGATATCTGTGCCGCACGACTGCCTAACGCATTGCCATGACAACAGCTTTGTCTGTGGGCGGGAGGTCCCAAGGCCTGAGAACCAACGGAGAAAAACACAAAGAGGACACACACACACACACAGGAGGAGAAGCTACACGGGGGTCCTCACCCGTGTTTGCCAGTCAGCCCAGGATAAGCCCTCCAGATTGTAGCAGGGTCTCCTCTCTCGTCAGTTCTGACCCGTCTGCCTCCTCTATTCCCCTGAATGCTAAAAGTCTGTTTCAGTTGACCCCTCCTGAAATAGAGAGAAATTGTGAGTGTAGGTGACAGCATGACCTAATTTACATATGGCATTGAGATCCGTATCTGTGATCCGATCACAAGCTGATGACACTTAAATGCAGGTGACCACAGTGCATTTTTAGAGTAAATGCTAATCTGTCCTGATTTGTCACGGACAAGAGCAAAGGACTGAATAATCTTCAATAAATGCTAATAATACATATAAACATATGCACACACTACCAGTCAAAAGTTTTAAATGTTTTTGAAAAAGTCTCTTAAGCTCAGCAAGGCTACATTATTTTGATCAAAAATAGTAAAAAACAACAACAACAAAAACCCAGTAATATTGTGAAATATTACATTAACAAATTGTTTTCTATCTTAATATATTTTTAAATATAATTTATTACCCTGATTGCAAAGCTGAATTTTCAGCATCATTACTCCAGTCTTCAGTGTCACATGGTTCTTCAGTAATCATTCTTATATGCTGATTTCAAGCTCAAGAAATATTTCTTATTTAGTTCAAAAATATATATTTTGTACCATTATAAATGTCTTTACTGTAACTTTTGATCAATTTAATGTGTCATTGCCGAATAAAACATTCATTTATTTTCGTCCTTTTTTTCAATTTCCAAAGAAATACAGTTGATAATAATAAGAAATGTTTCTTGAGCACCAAATCAGCATATTAGAATGATGTCCGAAGGATCGTGTGACACTAAAGAGTGGAGTAATGACTGGTGAAAAAGCAGCTTTGCCAATATAGATATTTTTGTTTATAGTTCCTGCGTGCCTCCATTATAATTCACACAGCCATCTCTGATATCATCGTTGTGCAGTGATGGAGCAACAATCCCATAATGCACACGGAAGGAATGCAAAACAGCCTGGGAATGACATTCCTCCGCAGACCAGACCAATATAAGAGCTTGTGAACGTCTGCATGCAAACGCTTTCTCATGCAACCTTAATACCTGATTACTAGTGTAAACCGAAGTAAAGGTTACATTAAGACATAAAAGAACAAGAGCTGAAAAGCAGGGCTGCTGTGAACAGAGATTTATTTCATTAAGACCTCTAAGCCACTGTTGTTTGTTTGGATGCAGTTGTGCAGATATCGACAGGAGAAAATCCAATTAATCTTTCCTATAAAAAGATAAGAGGATTGTAGCCTTACACCTACACACAGATGTAGCTTGAAAGTAGCAAACATCCACGTGAGCGCCACACACTCCCTACATTCAGATACTCTTGCTGACGTCATTATGGTCTTTTCCACCCTGCTGGCCACAGATAAGAACAATCTTAAGGCCGCCTACTACACCGCACCAGAGACAATAAGCAATACTGAGCCAAATCAAACAATCCCCCTGACAATGCCAAAAAGCCCCGTACATTTACATAACAGACATCTACCTTTCATGAGAGTGGCTCAGATGGACGACTGAGGTATAGTGCTGCTGTACAGGGTCCAAAATTAACACTCAACAACAGCCAGCTGAAAGGAAAAATTGCCTTTGGCAAGGAAATTTATGGAGTTATTGAAAGGTTGGCCACAGTTTGTGTTTAGAAAATGCAACATGTTTTTAAATGGCAATACAAAAATGATAGTCTGACCTTTGCCATTTTTTTTTAAATCTGGCATCGGTGACGTGAGCAAATCAGGTCTGATCATATCAGAGACATTACATGCACAACTATGTTATCGTATAGGCTACACACACATTGTAAATACCCTATTAGACTATTTTTTTTAGAATCTCTGTATTTTCTATGATGTGGGCTGAATTGTTTCAGGGCAAAATACTTTTGAGTCAAAATCTGCTAAAAAATAACAATTTATCATGTATACTATAAATGTATCATCTTTTATTGGAAAATGTTTTTTAAATCACCTGCCAAGTTTATAATATATTTTAAATCAGCATATGAGAGTCAAATTGGACAACTACAGTGACTCATCTCAAGATCACTCATTTATTTAAAAGTGAATCTATTTCCAAAATTATGAAAAAAAAAAGATCACTCAAGAATAGAAATTGGTGAAAATATTCAAATCAGGAATATCAGAATGCATAATTTGTGCATAAAACGTCCTTCAAAACCAAGGTTTATTTTCTTTAGCGTGCAGTGTGAAGTATTTCACTCGGTTCCCTGATCATTCAGATTCAATTTGCGAGTGAAGAAAAAATGTATACTCACTTGCCAAATTTTATTTTATCTTATTTTGTATTATGCAAGTTAGAAGTTGCAAGTTCTACGTCTCCGTAGAAGCCGCTCATGCCGACAAAATCTCCCTCATCTCAGAGAGCGATGACACATTCAAAACATCCGGTAGTGTGGGGTTTCCAGGAAATGCATGTACTCGCTGGACCTCTGCTTCTCGTAAATACTTATTGTATTGTAAATAATTATTATTTATTTCTTAGTGATTGTGATTGATTGAGTATTATGTACTCGCCGATGTTTTTAGTTCTAATATTCCAAAAGACAGCCAGCCTAAGTTTTTCACGTATGTGATAACATGCATAAGGGGTGAACTATGTTTGATTTTGTGGTAATTATAAAACGTGCTACTTTTTGCATAGTTCATTCATTATAGTTATTTTACGGAATGTTTATTGTTACGTTAAAAGTTATTTTGTGGCTTAAATAAATTACATGTTACACACAGACGGACATGTTTGGCTTTTTACATTTACATATTTCACATTCAGCTGTCGCAAATTCATTTGGTATTCCATTATTACCCAGATTTTGACTCTTTTCTCAAACACCACATAGTATCGGTTTACCTTACAAAGTCAACGCACCACCCAGCCCTAACAGGTTCTTTATACTGTAAATGTGCACTGTCAGGAAAAGGACAGCACTTATTGTCCCAGCCTTGCAGCAAACCACTCTACAAGCACATTATTATTTATTGTTTAATTTTTTTTTTTTTTATGTATATTTATTTAAATGTTCAAGGTTCATTTCAAAGTTACTTAATTTAAAATATTTTTATTTAAAAGGCAAAAAATTTTTTTTTTTTAAACGAACAGACGCTGACCAACGGCAACATACACTTTGTTCAGTTTTGTCAGATCTGCGGTCGGCACTTGTTTTCGCCCATTGAACATGTTAAATCGACGACTGCTGGGTCGTGGAGTGTCTGAGAATTGACATACTGTAATTTGGTGATTGTCTGCATTGGTCACCACCACCTGTGTGTGAATTGGCCTTAAAAAGTAACTTGCAGACTAAAATAATAAAACAACATAGGGCTGGGCGATATGGCTGAAAACTGTATCACGATATCAGTGTTTCATATCGGTCGATATCGATAATTATTGATTTTTTTATGACCCATTTAAAATAAGGACCAGGAGAAAAAATATATTACATTTAAACATTTTTATTTTAAACTTACCCTTCCTCTGATTACAATCCCAAGACAGAAATGTCAACACAACCATGGAAAACTCAAATAATTAGAATGTAAACATAAGTCTAAATTCACAATCAGACCGGCAAACTCCTCAGAGTAAAAAAGGTGACAGTGGCGCGGCGGGACGGGGGTGGTGGGGGGTTGTAATCGTACGTGCCCCCTGCTTGATTTCTTTTTTGAGACATCACGGTTCGGTACGATTTCGGTACAATGGAGTAAAAAGCAAAACAGAAATATATTAGGCATTTTTATAAATGTCTTAAGCCTCGTATTTTTTAAATAAGTTTTATTAATAAAGGCATAGAACCAGTTTATTTATAGTGCACTGATAATAGTTTTATGTAATTGGTTTATTAATTAAACTAATAAAAAGATAGATATGAGATATGTTTGGTAATTGTACCTGAATGAATTCAAAATTAATTTGCTATATTTCAGATCAATATATTTGTTTTCCTTAATTTTAATTAACCCTAACTTTATTCTCATCAGAATTATAAATAATTGATTTCCGTATAAAATAATCTACCAACATATTTCACTTTCTTTTTAATCAATGTGTAACTTAAAAATAAACAGATTAGTGCTCTGTTTTGAGGACAAGAAATAAAAACCAATGCGATATGATGAATGTCCAAAAGATGGAACACACAGACTGTTTTAAAAAGGGTTGGATAAATATGTTTTGCTTTTAAAACGGTGTGTGACAGTTGTAGGTTACAGTTTGACAAGAAATACAGTGTGACAAAAGCACAATGTTGTGTTTTATTGCGAGTATAGGCCTACACAAATATAAGTAAACACTTTGCAGACTGAATGATGTCCTGTATTAACAAAATGACGGAGTATAGCCGCGTTTCCACCGCAGGAACTTTACCCAGGAACTAGGAACTTTGGCCTGGTACTCGGTGTGTTTACACCGCAGGAACCAGGGTCTAAATGAAGTTCCGGGTAGATATTTCCCCCTCCGAAAGTCCCTGCTCGCGAGGTAGTACTTTTTCAAAGTTCAGGAACTTTCGCGGGTGGGGCTTGTGCGCTGAACATGCTGATTGGTTGTGTTCACGCCGCATTATGATTGGATAACTCCGCGCAGCATTTTATTTTAACCGGAATTTTTAGAATCTATTGCAGTTCGTGGCTTCATGCAGTAATGAAGTTCCATGCAGTAAGAGTTGTCTGTCTGCAAATATGGAATTTAATAAAAATAAAAAAGGCAGCTGGACCGACGACGAGATTCAGGCTTTATTAAGCGTATTTGCGGAAGAGAAATTTTCTGCGCGTTCGTCCCAGCCTTCTCACGGTCAATGTCCGCAATAGCTGATAACATACGCTGTCTAATTTTAGATCTAACGTTAGCATTACGAGCTTTCTGAACACGCTTTAGTATCAGTGCTCGTCTCTTTTCTGCCGTTTTGTTAATTACCTGGTTAGTAAACCAATACATCTCAAACAACTGCAGCACAGTGTGAATCTCTTCCATATTTATTATAAATGTGGCGCTCAAAACTGATTACTGTCTTTTACAGTCTACTGTCCGTCACAAGCAAGCAATGAGCAGTCGCGCGCAGTTTACC